ACCACCTTTTTCAATATGAAGTTTATATAATGGCGTCTGCTTCAACTGAGCAGTAGATCAAATAAATGCGCGTAGAATCAGTGAACTTTAAATAAGATTATTAATTGTCTGTAGTTGCTATATAAGCTTGATCTCAAATTAAATTTTAAGACGAAACTTACGGAAGACGAAACCCCTGATGAAGGACAAGAAGACCAGACCCCTCCTTCACAAAAATTCAAGCCTCTTATGACACAAATTATATTAAAAAAAATTTGGGGATTTGGTCCATTTATATCCGATATATATTTTAGATTCTGGCATTATCCACTGACGAGAATTTTTGAAATAACCCAATAATACGGGTCGTCTAAAGCCGTGGATCAATATGGATAAAAAAGATAACGAAAGAAAATTATAAGAAACAGATAGCTAACACAGTTAGATTGGACCTATAAGGGTTTATTTTGGTCAAATTGGTCGAACAAATATATATTTTGAGTGCGGCCATATTATAACCTGTAAGTATCGGACTTATGTATAAAAGGCTCGGGATGATAAACAGTCTAGATCAATTTTTTAAATACTATTTATATTAAATGTGATGAAATGTGATAAGCAATTTGTAGTAGGCCCACAAATTTCCTTACTTAATTTGATCGCACTCATATATTTTGGATGTCAAATTTAATATCTGCGTCAGATTAAATGTTCCTGCTAATATCTACTCTTACCCTAACACAGGCTTTCACCCTAACCTTAATGAAATTGATCTGACGCAAATTTTAATTTAACGTATATTATATATTACATTATGTATTTGTATAATTAAATTATTTAATTAATTGACCGACCAGTTTGACCAGAGAACCTTTAACATTGACCAGCAAATTGTTGGTTGACCAATTGACCAGATCTGATAGCCAAGTCTATACTAGATGCGTTAATACCTTTAGTTTTAATGAAATAAGTTAAAATTTATGAAAACGCTATAAGTGCAAAAATATTTACTTCACTGGGTTATATTTCATTGTAATGACGTGTCAATACGTCTTTACGATGGAATATAACTAAGTGTAGATAACACACAACTTTAGACGTCTCTCTTGTCAGCTATGCCCAAATTTGAAAATAATCATTATATGACGTAGTATACTCTCAATGGTTATATGCATCATTGAAATTTTGAATCTGGATGAGGTCTTCATGATTTTGTCAGGAGTTTCGTCTTTTGTCTTGCAACATCATCAATTAAGATTTAAGCATTGTACAATCAAATTGGCTTTTTAGTTACCTTTTCTGGCACAGCGGCAAAGTTGCGTTTAATATTTACCATCGGTAGAGAAACATTAAAGGCCATATTGGAAAAACCTTTTAGGTTTTTACTTGTTAGTGCACTCATAAGCCTCAGATGAAACCACGTATTCATCATATCTGAGTGAATATAATAATTAAGTGATTCTAATGTTAAATTTAATAGCAAACGATTAAAAATGCTCTTCTTCAAACACTCAAACACTCACTTTCAATATCTTTTTTTTTTCCGTGTAATTGAATATATATTAAAAAATTAAATTTTTGTTACAATGCACTGCACTATTTTGTGAGAGGATCAAATCGTGCAAAAAAAAAGACTTGCAGATTAAAATTCAAGATTTGAGCAAGTTATTATTGAGTTGTACAAGATGCAACAACATAGAGTACAGTAAATTGAATTTCGTGAACCAGCACATGACAGTTGACCAATCCAATGTATTACTGCATTATGAGACGTAGCTATAGAGTGGACATAAATAGTTAACTTGTGTCACAAATCAAGCGGGATGTAAAAGTTTCGTGCTGTATTTTGTACTGCAGTACTGTACAGTACTTAAATTTAGGAGTACTATTATATATTCGTACAGTACACCTTTTTATATTATATAAATATAAATGCGTACTGTACTGTAATGAATAAAAAAAAAAATAATAATGACAGTATAGTATGGTACGTTAAACTTTTTTAATATCTTGCAGAAAGCAAATTTAAAATTTATATAGGTGCCGTCAAGGGAAAAAAAGTTTCAAGCTTATTGCTTATCGGACTCAATCTATCTAATTTGTTAGGGATTGTGTCGGTAAATTATAAATTTGAAATCCTGACGATAGGTTTTCCCTTAGTGGCACCCATATATATTTATAGTTTACTAATATAACGATAATGATAAATAATTTTTATTACTTTAAAGGTGTAATTAAGTTAGATATGCCTTACGTTCGTATTTGCAATGTTAATTAAAAAACAATAACGTTACAATTCGCAAAATAGATATTAATTAAAAGTTCAAATATATAAAAGTTTTCGAAGTTTCACTTGCAACATAATTTCTTTTTTCAGACTCATCCTTCTGAATCGCAAGCTTTTTACCGTATTGTCTCGAAATAACGCCCCGGGGTGTAGGTTAAAATTTTGGACCGAATTAAGCTTAATTCAGCCTAAATGAAGCTTAATTCGGGCCAAAATTTTAACCTACACCCTGGGGCGTTATTTCGAGACAATACGGTATGCACAATCTAGAGTTTGGAACCGGTTTTATTTTCATGTGTTAAAACCGATTAAACCCGGTTTTTACATATAAAAAATAAAACCGGTTCCAAACTCTAGCTCAATTCTTAAAAGCTTTTCTTATTCTTAATGGATTTACTTGCAATTCGGTTTTTTTTAGAAGACTTTTGATAAACGGAAGTTTCATTAGAATGTTTGCCTTTGCCTTTATATTCATTAGTTAGTATACTGTATAATCTATTACAAAAATATATTATGTAACTTACTGTTTTTCTTTTTAATCACAGTTTTTTGTAAGGATGATTTATCTCGATAAGTTTCTGTTACATTCGTTTTTCAATTTGTGTAATTATAAATGGTGAATTTAAAAGTCCACCAATCGAGGAGCAGTCACATGATATTCTGACCTTATAATTCTCCAGAAATTTATTTTAAAAAATTTCAATAAAATTTATTTCCACACCCCTTTTTTGATATTTTCACTCTCATGTAGATCACTTTTTTTTAAAACTTTAATCGAAGGTATTTCGACTACCACCTGATCAAATTCGATAATTTTTTTTATTAGAATTCCATCGAAATTTGTAGGTGGTTATCGAGATACCTTCAATCAAAATTTTGATCGAAGGTATCTCGACGACTACCCGACCAAATTCAATGATTTTTTTTTTTTATTAGAATTCTATGAGTCTGTAGAATTCAAATAAATCGAATTTAATCAGGTGGTTATCGAGATACTTTCAATCAAAGTTAGAGAAAATTTTGCCGTGGCTATTATTTTTATAGATGTTTAGATGTTTCAAAACTTTGATCAAAGGCATCTTGACAACCACCTGACCAATTCAATGACTTTTTTATTTGAATTTTACGCGTTCTGTAGAATTCAAATAAAAAAATTCATTGAATTTGGTCAAGTGGTTATCAAGATATCTTCAATCAAAGTTAGAGAAAATTTTATCATAGTTATTACTGTATTTGATAGATATTTAGATTTTTTTAAAAATTTTGATTGAAGGTATCTTGATAACTACCTGATCAAATTTGATAAATATTTTTTTATTAGAATCCTACAAGTCTGTAGAATTCAAATAAAAAAATTCATCAAATTTGGTCAGGTGGTTATCATGATACCTTTGATTAAATTCTTAAAAAATCTAAATATTTATCAAAATAATAGCTGCGACAAAATTTTCTCTAACTTTGCTTGAAGGTATTTTAATAACTGCCTGATCAATTTCAATAAATTTTTTGTTATTTGAAAAAATTTATTGAATTTGGTTAGGTGGTCATCAAGATACTTTTGATTAAATTTTTTTAAAAAAGTGATCTATATGGGTATAGAAATATCAGTTGCTTAAAATTGATTGTAATATTTGAATTATATTGTATAAATAATATAGAATATTTGCTAGAAAATCACCCTTCAATATTTTTCAAGTAGGCTAATTCAAATTAATATATTAGTACCTATTTGTATATAAATCAGTTTTGACTTTATTGTTTTAAAGATTTATTCAATAAGCTATTGAATTAATAAAAAAATAATTTATATATAAATAAGAATTGATATGTTGGTTTAAAATATTTTGAATTAGCTTAATTGTAAAATATTGAAGAATAATTTTTTTAGAAAAGATCCTATATAATAATATCAAATTATCAAATATACAAAAAACTGCTTTTTTCTAATTTAAATAAAATTTAAATTTTTTATTTATTATGTTTAAAAATTATTATAAAAAGTTTGTTATTATAAGATTTGGTTATAATTAGATTTATAAATTTTATAAGCCAAATTAAAATAAATAAGTAATTTAAACAAAGATATAAAAAATTGTAAAGTTTTAAAATATACTCTAAAATATATTTATAAGTTAAAACTAGTTTGCAAAATATAGTTTATTTTGGTTATAGTAAATAATTGCTATAATAAAGAGTATTAAGTTATAGAATTATTAAATTTAACTATATATAATAAAATATATTGATATTCTTTTGATATAAGTTATTGTAAGAATTTTCTAGCCTAAAAACTTTATTACAATATGAGTTGTAATTTTTTTTATATTTTTATATATGAGATCTTTTTATTATTTAATAAAATACTATATAAATACCAAATAAATAAAAAGAAAAAATAGTATATAGTTAACTTTCTATAATTAATTGACAATTCTTATAGTAAAAATTTTTAAGCTTTTTAAAAATAATTTATTATATTATATTAAACTCTATAATAAATTATTAAAAAAGTTTATTATTTCTTAAGCTATATTATAGTCAAATTTGGCTACTTAAATTTTTTGATATATTTTTTCTATTTATTTTAAATTTTGTTAAGTTTTTTAAGCTAAAATAAATATATATATATATTAATTGTTATATAATTTTTATTTTTTTAAATTTTTATTATTTAGTATAGATTATAATAGACTTTGATATTTAAAAGTTATATATTTTTTATTTTTTTATGGTTTATAGAATAATCTTAGTGGTTAGTAAACTTTTTATTAAGATTTTTAGCTTCTGTATATTAATGAAAGAGTTTATAGTAACATATCAATAAGAGTACATAGGGTTTGGAATGTGCCAAGTTAGGCCAAGTCAGATTAGAACCCGAGCCTAGCTTATTAAATTATATGCTTAGCCCAGATCTAGCCCACTAAAAAATTTAGAACATGGGCTGGGCCAGACTTACTCTAAAACCCAGTCTAATCTAGTTCAATAAAAAAAAAAGACTTAGCTTAGCCTGGTCTATAGAATTATAGATCTGGTACAGTCTATAGAATTATAGACCCATTCTAGCCTATAAAATTATAGACCCAGCCTAGCCTATAGAATTATAGACCCGGCCTGGCCTATAAAATTATAGACCTGGACTATACTGTACATAACCTGTATTTATTGGGCTAGTATTATGCTCAAATTCTTTATTTAGTTAATGCTATACCAGAAATATAGGAATGAAATTACGAAGTGTTTGGTTAACTACTATCTAGAATAGTATATATGCAAATTTATAAATTAGGTGCTGATCAAGAATAAAAAATATATATTGAAATTTATATATATACATATATTTATGCATATGTGGTCTTATACATATTGATACAACCTATCATTATTAATGTATTATATATACGTATAAATAATTTAGTAATTTGAAATATATATATGTATTACTAATATTATTAATAGAATTAAAATTGATTAGAATTGGTATATAAATCTCAAACCTTTTAGTATATAATAAGTAAATAAATTAATAAATAAACTAGTTTAAGTAAAAGAAAATAAATATACCTAATTTGCGTAAATAGTACCCTCATGTTTTAGTACTTACTTGCTATCATATTGTCAAATTAAATAGTAAATTATCAGTTCTAGAATAGTACTAATTAAATTTTTAAAGCCTAAGAATATAAAAAGCTAAGTTACTATTTGCTATAAATTATGATATTATTTATATATTTAATAGTAAAAAAGTTCATTAAAGGGTCAAAAGAATTTATATACTATATCATGCAGCTACTCTAGTTATTTATATATATATATAAATCAAGATCTATAGCATTATTATCAAAGTTTAGTTGGGTGATTTTAATCCTTAATATAGATCACAGACTATATAATATAAACAACTCAAACTAATAAAGATAATATCTATTATCCTGCTCATTAATAGTAAGTAATAATGTATTTTAACCTGAATTCTTTTCTTTATAATTATGTTGTGCCCAAGAATCTATAAGTATTACTCTCCTAATTTCAAGCCAATTTAACAAGTGGACCAGAAAATTAATACATAATTAAAATCAAAATTGAGCAAATACATATAATATCAGTTATACAAAAAAATTTATAACAATTTTAAAATAAAATTTCAGATTATTGTTTTGCTAAATTGATTAATTTTGTGTAGAGTTAAAAACCTAAAAATAATTACAATTTAAAACTTAGTATATAAGTTTTACTATAGAAGTCGATTTTACATTTGATTCTAAGCTTATTATCAAAAAAAGCTGTACAGAAAAAACTGCACAAAAAAAAATAAGATTGCATGGGAAAAAAATTGCACAAAAAAAGATTATATAGTAAAAAAATCACACAAAAAAGAACTGTGAGAAAAAACTGTCAGTCTAATTTTGGTTCTATTCTTCTATATTATTCAACCAATTTTGTCTGCATATCAACATTTCAATTAACTTTGAGCTAAGATTTGATCGATAGTATTTATAACTCTTTTAGCTATACTAAATATCTAAATATATTGGTTAGATATTACAAAGAAAATAAATTGAACTTAACAAAGTTTACTTATTGTTTTAGATAGTATAGAGATTATTGAAATCGCAAGAATATCCCTTGCCATTAATAAGATGAAAGAATCTTGGCACATTTTTTTTCACAAATTTAGAATATCAAATAACTCTTTATTAGAACAGAAGAAAAGCAAATCAGAAAGATTTTGCTCAAATTCATCAAATTCATTTCCAACATAAGCATAATTGGCATTAAGAAAGATATCAAAATTGTTCATTTCTTTATCTTGAATATCTGAAAAATCATCTACTGTTATTATATACTACATATAAGTTGAACTATAGATATCCTTAATTCTATAATGATAAAAAAATGATCTCTTGCAGTATAGGTGATCCCATTTTATAATTAATTAGAGAAATTACCTATACTGCAAGAGATTCAAAAAAAATAATAGCACATAAGATAAGCTAGAAAATTCTGTTTCAATTAGAGTATCCAAGGTTCTGTAACAGCAGAATCTGTGCAGAATTTCTGCAAGCAGAATAAAAATTGTTAAATATTGTAATCAAATTAGAATTTTTTTTTGTTATAATTTTGTTTTTTAATATATTACTTATATATTATTACAAAAGTTGCTAATTTAATGATAATTACAACAGAATTTTTCAGTTAAAGTAGCAGTACCCTGAACACTCTAATCTTAATGAAATTTAAAATAATAATATCAGTACCTTGATTTAATTAAGACTAACTTTTTCTTTGCATCAATACATTGCAAGTTAATCTTTATCTTATATAGATAAGTCAATAATAACATTTTGTAACAAGGGTCCAATACTAACACAATATAGTACATATTACTCATTTTTACTCAATATTTATCAAATTTAAATTTCATTGGCTTGAATATTTGAAGAAGGAAAGGATCTGAATTAGTACTATTTCATTCGAGGTGTATTTTAATATTTATCAGTTGAGAAAGGAATAGATTGGCAGTAGAATAAGTGCTTTCTGATATAAGGTTAGTAACTGCATTAAAATAGAGCATAATTAATTTGCAATCATATTAAGATAAATCAACAAAATTCAAGATTTGATATTACTTACTTTTATAAAATAGCTTTAAAAATTCACAGAAGTTTTCTGCTTTGTTCTAATCTTTATAAAAAGGTACAATTGCTCAAAACCATTATTACAGTATACGAGATGATCAAATATACTTCTATATGAAATAGTGGATTCCAATATTTTATATATCAAATTCTAATGAGTGACTATATTAAGAGCTAGTCTCTGACTTTAAACAAGCTCATTACAAAGCCCAGTAATATAGTCTTCGAAGATTTGCTTCTGATGCTCTAAACTGTGAATTCAATTTATACAATCTCAGATTCGTAATATTAATAGTAAGTAAGTACAGTGTGGAACAAAAAAAACCGAAAAAATTGCACATGATTTAAAATCATGTGAAACTCATTTGATTTAAATCAGATCTAAGATCAGCAAAATGCAAATCAGAAGCAATGTTGAATACTTACTTTTAGCGATTTGTAATTCGCAAGTATATTATAATTTTGTATACTCAAATAATAGCCATATGATGGTATCTAAAAAAAGAAGCTAGCGAGAAACTTTAGTATACCTGTAGAACAAAAGTGTACATAGTGCAAAAGAGCTTTATGCTCAAACCGGTATCCCCTGGTCTACTATTTACAACAATATAAAAAGGTTAAAAGTGTATGAAATATTGACCATGCTAGAGAGAATGGTCGGCCCAAAAAAATTAGTAATGTTGCTTCCTGGGCAATTGAGAAGCAAATTAAAAAGAATTCATCTATTTCAACAAAAACTTTAGCAGCATACCTATCAAGTATAGGTAATGATGTTTCATATAGAACAATTGGAAGGCATTTGGCTATAATAGGATATGTGAAAAATATTTCACGAAAGACCCCCATGCTGACCAATGACCAAAAAAAAAAGAGAGTAGAATAGGCCCAGGCTCACCTTAATGATAATTGGAACAGAACTTTTTTTACAAATAAATCAGCTTTTTAACTCTTTCGAAATACGCTCAAGCATTGGCATAAAAAAGGTCAATGGCCAATTTGTCCAATTCCTAAAGACCGTACTAAAATTAAAGTGTGGGGTGGTTTTTCAGTAAAGAGAAAATCAAGCTTATTTTGCTTTACACAAATTATGGACAAGAAATTTTATGTTGAAATTGTGTGCAAGCACCTTTATTACCTTTGCCCTTTGAAGTAAAAATAGCTCTTTTTTGTTTGTTTGACTAATAGTATTAGTCAACAACCCGATAAACAAGTTCATTAAATAGATCGTTGTAAAAAAAAAAAAAGAATTACTAAGAACATTAATGTTAAATTTTCAGTTAATGACCAATTTGACAAATAGGATGAATTGCCTATAAATAGTTAAATATACAATTATAATTTTGCATATAAATAAGTATAACAATAATTGTTAAAAAAATATTAAAAAATACCTGTTAACATTATATATATGGCCAAATATGCTGTATTTAAACTTGTAAACATATTTGTGCTTGTTTCCTCTAAATTATTTGGATTATTTGAAATATCAGTTGCTGTTTTTTTAAAACATATAAAGAGTGTGCGAAAGCAAACATAATAAAGATGATTATTATGAAAAATGGTAAAGAATATTTAATAACTCCAATAATCATTGCCCAATAAGTACCACCAAATTCAATAGCACGAAAAAATGTTATAAATTTAAGTTCTAGTAATAATATAGAAATTGTAATAGCCCAAGTAGGAGTAGTAGAAGATTGCAACCAATTAATAGAAGTTAATACAGGAAACAATATTGCTTCTACATCTTAAAATATAATATTTAATTAGATAGAAATATTTATAAATTATACAAATAAATAAAATTATACAAATATATTAACATAATTTCAAATTTTAGTAATTCATGATAAAGAAGAATAAACAAATTGTCAAATTTCAAAGTTAAGATATAAAATTCCAAAAATTATATTTGTAATTAATAATAAATTTTGAATATGATCTGATAATCCTTCAATTGTAGCAGCTATAAGAAAACTAAACATAAAAAAAATATAAAAAATAAAAATAGCAAAAAAATAATATTTTCTATAAGTATTCCATTTGAAGTTAAGAAGAGCTTCACCACACCAATATTTATAAAGTTCAGGAAATAGATGTTTAGAAAAAATACTAGGTTTAGGAAAAATTAATTCTTCTAAAGGATTATATTCAGCAGAATAATAACTAAACTTTGAAAATAGAAAAATTAAAACTACAAATTGAAAATCTTTATAAAATATTTGTTCTATTATTTTTTGTATTTTTTTTCTATTCTTTTTTTTATTTTTTCTATTCTTTTTTGTGTTTTTTTTCTATTATTTGTTGTATATTTATTCGAATATGATAAAGAATTTTAGAAATTAATAAAATAATTGGTTGTTTAATTTTAGAAATTAATAAAATAAATAGTTGTTTAATTTTTTCTTTAATATTACTAGTTGAAGAGGGTTGTAAACATTTTATATAACTTTGAAAATATGGTTTTAAAAAAATTTTGTTAAATTTAATTTCTTCACAATTATTAGTTAAATGAATAAATAAAGTATAAGATAAATATTTTTTAATAATTGAGGAAATTGTACTAGTTTTTTAAATGAAAAAGTAAAAATATATAATAATTGAATTTTTTTTAAAAAGTTATCTTTTACCGCTTCATTAAATATTTTATTACATAATTTCTCAGTTAATAGATAATATTGAGGCTTTAAAAACTCTTTAGAAATTCTGCTTCATGTAACTTCATTAATATTAAATTTGTTTCATTGCATATTTTATTACATAATCTCTCTACTAATGAATAGCATTGAAATTTTAAACAATACTTTAGAAGTTCCTGTCCATATAATTTTATTAATGTATTATCTTCAATATAATCATCCAATAATTTATTTGAAATGTCTTTAAAAAGAATTCTCGTATTGTCAGCTATATATAAATTTTCATAATAAATAAAAAAATCAATATCTGGTGCTGGCAAAGAATTTTTTTATATCTTTGTATTTTGTCCAATAAATTTGTAAGCTCTATGTTGCTTTTTACTTCCTACCACTTTTTATAATTCTTTTTATAGTTCTCAATATTCTTATCAATTATATCATTTATATAATATAGTAATATAATTTTATCTTTTTGCCAAATTGTTCATATAAATAAGCCAGTACTTGCAATTACTACTAAATCATCATTATGCAACAAATCACAACTATAAAAATATATGTCTATTGTCCGATAAGTTGTTGTAGTTTCTTTACCATAAATCAATTCAAAAGATTTTAGTTTTATACTATTTACATCTTTCCAAGTATTCAAATTAAGTTTATGAGCTCATATTATTTTTTCTTTGCCATTTACTTCCTATTTTACTGTTGACTCTTCATACAATTTTATCTCCATCTTACTAATAGATTTATTATCTTTATTTTTATTTTTAAGTTCTTGCAGAATTTCTTTTATTTGAGATTTGTTAGGTAGAATCTTATTTTATCAGAATCTTGTAAGTTTTCTTGTAAATATTTGATCTATTGTTCTTTAGAAGCCTCTTGAATCTATAAAAATCTATCTGATAAGCAATATATTTTTTCATTTATAAATTCTTTAATTTGTGCATTTGAAATATCGAATTTTGTCAAAGCTTTTTCATTTAAAAGTTCTGTATACAGGTTTGAAGTCTGTTTATCATTAAGATCATGTTGAATATTGTAAGAATCTCTTGCATCAAATTTGTCATTATAAAATAAGAGTAACCTTTCTGCTTCATTAGATGAAATAAATTCTAATTCACAAAATATTTCATCACTTTTAACTTCACCTATAAATTAATTATAATTTTAAATATATAGAATTATAGTAAATCAACCAGTGATGTTTGTACTATATATATTATAGAAAGATTATCATTGTTAATTTAGTTTAGGGTTATATAAAAATTTTCGAGTTATTATTTAGTATATCAAACATCAACTATAGTTAAACACCACTGGCTTAATTTAATAAACTCAAAATATTAATATTTATACAAAAAGATGTTCAGATTTTTAAACACTTTTTGCAAATAGCAATATACTAATTTAATAACCTATATTGTGATAAAAGAATCAAATTTTCTGTTGAATAAATGTAAATCATAATTCCTTCTAATGATTCTAATGTACTGCAAGTAATATAGAGTTTGCATTAAAGACACATTGAAAAATAGTTCTGTACCATCTTTTGTCAATATAATGACAGGCTATATGTAATTTATATTGTTTTTCAAAGATAATGTATATGAATTCTTCTATTATATCAATGACCCACATTTATCAAAAAGTATTATCTTTTTCTTGTTGCTTATATGACACATTACATCTTTACGTTGCTACAGAAAATTGAATTATTAATCATCCAGCTTTGCTTATATGAATTTTTAAATGAAAATTTAAGAATAAGATTAGAGTCTTCATGCTTAATATATCTATTAATTATGAAATCTTTATTATTATAAAATTTACAATCAAGAATTTTATCAAAGACTCCTTGATTTAATTCTAGGTCTACTTTTTTCTTGATAGTAAGATTAAAAACTTTAAAAGAATAAGTTTTTTTGAAGATTAATTTTAGGTATTATAAATATTGTCAATTATTTTATCTTTATGTCCACTAACCAGTTATTTTCCAGGATGTTTCTATCACAACAGATTTATTATTTGAAACTGTATATAAAGTTGAGTAGTTCGATTTAGAATATATTTCTTTAAGATCGATGAGTTTGTCTTCTATTTGTTCTACAGATTGATCTTTATCAAGTTGCCAACCACACATTGAACAATCATCACTGCTTAATGTCACTATATACTTGCTATTTGGTAATAACAAGAATTAATTTATTTTCTTGCCATTGTGTGGTTTAGTAGGTTTAGAATCTATTTCAATTTTTTCTTCTTTATCTTTAAACTTTGATGCTTGTGAAGATTCACCTTCGTTACTCATTTTTAAGAACCTCTTACCTCCTATACATTTTTTTCGTTAGTAAAGTATGGCTTAGAATACTATTTATCATGCAATGTTTATATTGGCTTGCTATCACAATTTTCTGTAGCAGCTAGGGATAGGAATGGCTTATAATAAGCCAGCTTAATCACAGCTTTTAAGCTAAGCCAAGCTGAGCTAATAAGCCAGCTCAAGCTAATTTTATCTCTAACTAAATATATTTATGTTACTTGTATTATTACAATAGTTTATAAGAATTTTTTATAATAAATCACTATAGAAATTATATTTATTTTAATATAAAACTAATATAACTATATCAAAATAATTTGTATTATTATAATACTTTTAAGTGTCTTAATTAATAAGTTAAAAATATTATATAAAATATTACAAAAATAAAAAATAATTATTTTTTTTATATATTTCAATATTATTTTTCATCCAACTTTTTAAGCAAAATGATGTATAAGCAATATCAGAATTAAGTTATTGTGAAGTTTTGAAAGTATTATTGAGGCAGTAGAAAATAGGGATAGGATTAGCTTATAATATAAACTAAATCAAGCCAAACCAATAAAGCTAGCTTAAGCTAATCCTAATATATATATTTGCATATATACAATAATGCTACTATCATCCTAGATACAACTAGATATTATTAAAACAAATTTAAATTAAAATTCAATACATATTTTTATTAATTAAATTTAAAACAAATTAAAAAATGAAATTTAGTTTCAAACTCTAATTATTATATGAAATATATAAGTTGTGAATATATTAGAAACAAAATGATATTAAAAATTTCATATAGTGTATAGTTATATAACAAAATCTTGTATTTTATTAGATATATGCATATAGTGAAGCAAAGATATAAATACATATTGAAACTTTGCATATTACATCTTAATATTCAAAGTAATACTTGCTCCCATATTTTGTATTGTATGAGATTGTTAATTTAACTTTTAATATGCGATACTTGATTTAATATTTTATTTTCTCATGATTATCACTTAATTGCTACTATTATACCATTCTGTATATAGAATTAGATTCTGACTCTTAAAATCCGATTTCTATTTCTGTATTATTAATTTTGATCTATTTGTCATTACTTATAATACAATAGAACAATGCTCAAAAATTATATATATTTGATTTTCTAAATTTGCATTTATTCTTTATTATTTGATATCTACAATCTATCTAAAGCTAAACAAGTAATTGTATTTTTCATGGTTTTGAAAATATTGCATGTAAATTATTTTTTAATTATTTGATTTTCTTGTTTGATTGTAGTTTTCTAAAATCCTGTTATAAAAAGAATTTGTGAAATAAAATTGTTTTAATATATGTAATTGGATAATTTTATGTCTAATTAATATATAATGATCCTTTAATAACCTTATATAACAAAATAGTTTTGGTAAAAATTATTTAACGAAAACTTAGCCTTGTGTTTCATCATTGAGCACCATAGTTTATGGAACTACAGATAATAAGATCATAATAATACACTAAACACATAGAACAAATTAACAAGAGTAGATAGAGTTAGTAAATTCGAGTGTCCCAGTAATAGTTGATAGTAGCACAATATAAGATGAGAATTAATTCTAGAATACAAAATAGCTAATGATGAAAATTGTTTTAGCTTCTGGGTTCTGAAGGGCCAAAAGCTAAATACTAAATTCTATAACTGAATAAACAAATGATTAGCAGTCTAGCATATAATTATTATATCCTGAATAGTTGTATATAAATAGAATTTTGCAGTAAAGTATGATCTGCTATTTATACAACAGATTATACTTTGTTTTAAAATTTTGTTTATAGTCAACTACTTAAAATATAGCTAATTTATCCTCTGCCATCTATGTAATATAACTTTAATTTATTCTCTGCCATCTATATAATATAACTTTAATTTTTCTCTGCCATCTATGTAATATAAATTTAATATACATATTTTAAAATGAAACCAACTGTTTTTGACGTTTAAGATTAAATAGAATAGTATAATATTTAAACTTAATCATCTAAATTAAATAGATATATGTTTAGTAGAATAAGTATATAAAAAAATTATATTAATAGATTAAAATGATTATATTATCTAGCAGTTCAAAATAATTGTGCTCAACAAATGACTAAAGCTATTTGGTATTTAAATTTCTTAAATAACATATATTAACTAGTGCGATAGATGGCACTTCGCACCAGGGATGGTAAATGACCAGGTCATTTGCTCAAATGACTAATGACCTAGAATGACCTTAAAATAACCGATTATTTGAGTCATTTAATTTTCAAGTCATTTAAAAATGACTCGTGACCAAATGACCCGGGTCATTTATAAATGACCTAAGTCATTTGGGTCATTGGGTTATTATGCATATTACAATCGGGTGATATGACAAAATTGGCTGGGTATTTATACATATCGGTTAGATCAGGTGAGTTTATGAATGCAAAGCTTAATTAAATTGAAACCGGTTTTATTTTCATATGTTTTAACTAGCCAAAACTTGAAAAAAAAATAGACTTTTAATATTGCAGTATTGCATAAAAAATATGTCATCAATTGTAAACATAGTATAAAAGAGAGAATTGTGACTAGCATTAGTGTCTAATCGGCTTTATTTCCAAAATAAATATATACGGTACCTTTATTAGCAGTTAGAAAAAAGTGGCAGTAAAATAAATTTATATCGTAAGAAAGTTACCTTAATTGACGGTTTACTTCAACAGTAATCAAGAAAAAAAAATAAAATAAATAAAATAAAGAAATAAAAAAAATAAAAAAATAAAAAAAAAAATAAATAAAATAAAGAAAAAAAAAATAAATAAATAAATAAAAAAAATAAATAAATAAATAAAATGGACTTCAGATTTTTTTGTAAACAGCGAATATTTAAACGATTATAAAGTAACTTCTCAAGATGGGCAGAATCTACCAGAAGATATTTTGTATAAAATTAAAGGACGCATCGTATCAGTATGTTAATTTAGCATATTTGGAAATTAGACATGTTGAACATCTTATATGTATAATACATTTTTTT